AAAGCATAAATTAAAATTATCAATCAAGAAATTTAAATTATATTATTGTTAAATGCGGCGGTCAGCAAAACCGGTCGGTCAACCGGTCGGTCGGTCAACGGCCTTTGACCGACCGTTAACCGACCGTGAACCGACCATGACCGACCGTTACCATCCCTAAACGTAATGGATGTATCTTATAATTAAGTGCTCGCTAATTTATAATATAAAGTTTTTCCTTCATTAAAATACACTTTATATATTTTTTTTTTTCTCAAATCAGTAACATTGCATTGAAATGAAAATTTTGTATGAAAATAAATTTGAAGAATTATATAAGATGAAGAAAACTTCAATACCTTATAAAATAAATAAAATGAATAAATGAATTAAACAAAATATTCAATAAAAAATTTAAATCAACATGTAATTTGTTCTATTTTAATAAAATTAAATAATAAAAAATAAAAAATTATTAATAATTGATACATAGATAAATCGTTATTTTGAGAATAAGATAATTTTCATCAATCTATTCCTTTCGAAGTAAAAAATTGATAACAAGAAGGTCTTTGAGAACTTAAAAATTACTGCACAGCACCAGGCCATTTCTTTTCTAAGGCAAATGTTTTTAGTTTTTTGAAATATCATTATAGAGCAATGATTTTTAGGATTGGTATTATTTAAAGCTTAAATTAAAATTATTGATCAAGAATTTTATTGTTATATGGGCCGGTCAACTGGTCAATATAACCGGTCGGTCGTTCAAAGGCCTCTGACCGACCGTTGACCGACCCGACCATGACCGACCGTTACAATCTCTACTGAAAACGCGTCACAATAATAATTATATCATAAACAACATACAATCATACCGTTAAACTTTCGTTTATTTTTTTTTTTAAAAAAAAAGCATTAATGGATCACAGATGTTTAATTAAATATAAATATAGATAGTTTTTAAAAACTGACTTTGATATTATATATGACTTCTTGATACTGCGCATTTTATGGTTCTACTTGAAGAACTATACTTATAAATGACACCTGGAATTGTTTTTACAGGTTCAATACTGAATATTTTATAATATCATTTAATTACTTTCTCAATAATTATAATGTAATCCAAAATGGCTCAAAATGTTGAACTTTTGCTTAGATAGAGTTCACAGCATTCTTTAATAGCTATATAATCTTTCAGATGCATTTTTATAACCAATATGAGAACGTAAACCATCAGCATACCTGAACTATTGGCTCGTATTGTCTAGTCACGGTAAGTTTTATAAGCAAGGTTTAATTTGTTATTAAAAAATAAATATTGATGTTTTAAATAAAATCTTTTCATTTTTGTATTATTCAATAACTACAGTTAAAACTAATGGAGAGCTTTAAAAATCCAATCATTAGTTAAAAAGAAATAAGCATTTGAAATCAAATATTTTTAATGTCATGCAAAATTTGGCACCTGAAATTACAAAATATAATTGGTCGATTTTGTTTAATGTACTGTATATATTAAAATATAAACACGTGATTTATATATAATTTTTTTGTAAATTTGGCATCAAAAAAAAAGTTACTGTATTTAGCCAATATAAATATCTGAAGCTTCATAAAGATTAAGGTAAAAATGATAAGCTCGATGCTTGTCCTTTAAGCCATGTTGAGCATAGAGTGAACGCAGGTGAAAACTTTTGCTTATATATTTGGCAAGGTATTTGCCGGCCGCTTGTTTGTTTAATATACTCTTGAAGGCCATAAGACATTATTCCATAGATTTATTACCTTCAGTTTCTGTAGCCGATTTACATAACCCTAGACCTATTTTAATTTACATATTATTTGTATTTAGTATCAAAGTATTTCATTATAAAAATTACATTATGCAATGAAAATCTAGAAGACAAATGCAATAAATAAATGTTGATATAGATTATCTTAATAAAAAGAATTCATATCACATAATTTAATCAGCAATGTGGTTATCACTCGAAGAAATATTTTCTTGGATATCTGTAACAGTGATCTGATCATCAGTACAGTTCTTAACATATACGTTTCCTTCTTGTAGTTTATTACAAACAAATCTCATATATGTTGTTCCTAATTCTTCATCTTTTTACCAGCACGACCAGAGAAATATAATTTAGCAGCAACATGCATACCATCAACAATACCATTTTCAGCGGCTTTTGTAAAATACATAACAGATTCCTTTAAATCTTTTTTAACTCCTATACCTTTAAATAAACAACACCATAACGTAATTGAGCTTCAGGGAAATCATCCCCCCTGAATCTGCTAACTCTTCATATAAATCTACTGCTTGTTTATCTTTCGTTGTTTGGTCCATATCAATTTTGACTAAACTTTGTTGAATTTAATATGCTTTAAAGAATTTTGCTTTCATATCACCATATTCTGCATATTCTTCAACACATTTATAAGCTGATTCGCGGTTGCCATCTCTATCTACTGACATAAAATTAAATTGTGCGGATTTCGTAACATCATTTGCAAGAGTTAAACCTTGTTCTAGAGTCGTAAACATGTAAACATCTCTGAAAATCGAGGTCTAAAAATAGGAACATAATGAACAGCTAGGATAGAATTATAATAGTAAGTAAGATATTAACTAATACCTTTTTTGTGAGTTCCTGGTATTCACTTGGTAAAATAAAACTTTGAGAAAAGGTTAACGATATTTTTCGGTGTAAATGAGATCTCGTATAATCATTATATTTCTCATTAGGCGTTTTTTCTTCGGCAATTTCTCATAGTAGTATACCAAAACTATAACTTATCCTTGGTATCATACTTTGACCGATATTCTAACCTTTCTGGAGTGTAATACCGTAAAGTTTACCGTAAAGTTTCTATTGTTACAGCAAGATTTTTTATACAATCAGCTTCTCGATTTGCTTTAAAATTTGCAATTTTTGCCATAGAATTATTTGTAATTTAAATATTTCGGCCCATATGTCACGATGAACGATCTGCGTAGAAAAGCAAATAGAAGATTTATAAAGTTTTAAAAATAAATTACCGAAATAGTGCTTAAGAAATTCAAACCTTTAGCAATGTCGAGAGCAAATTTTAATTTCTACATAAAATCAATTGGATGGTAATTTTGATAAAATTCACGTAAATTCCATAATCAGCCCACGCAGTTACCAGACAAGATTTATTATCATAAGCTGTTAAACCAAAATATTGAATAATACAATCACAAGGTCCCAATTTTTAAAAAATTGTAACTTGTTTTCTAAGATTATCTTTATCTTCGGCTACTAACTTTAATGCGACAAAATCATTCAATCCATGTTTCTTTTAAATTTTCTAACTTCAGTTATATTTCAGGTTGTTGTTCTTCAAAATCATTAAAATCGAGTAAGTCACTTTTGAATATATCAGTAATTGCCGATTAGGGGTTTATTATAATGTTTTATTAAGTGCAATCAATTGTACAACAACTTCAGAATTAAATACTCATGTATATTACTTTAATTAAATCTTCGATATCAGATTTAATATTATACTAAAATCTACCATCAGTAATATCAAATTCACTAATTAATGCTTTAACATCACTTTCAATATTTCTAGCTTGATTATAATTGGATAAACCTGATAACTGAGTAATTTTTACAACAAATTTTCGAATTTTAACAATGATGTTAACCAAATATTGTAAATGGTAAAGGTTTCGTTTTGTAAAATAATTTCATCCGATATTTTAAATTATTATTGTTTATATCAGCTATTTGGACTCGATCCAACAATATTCCACATATTTTTCTATTTGTTCAGCAGATTGATATATTTTTACTATTTCATTAAACTCTTTGATTATCTCCATTATAAAGTGGAATAAAATTTGTAAATGGTATTATATTGTCGGGTACGACTTCTATTTCATTTACATCATTTCCACTCAATTGTATATATTCATTTTTGTAATCAAAAGATCTAAATTATCGTATATACTGTAGCTCCATAATTCACATATTCTTGATAGTAATAACTAAATTAATCAGACTAGAATCTTAATAAATAATTTCATAATCATTACTTTCTTTATTTTCATATTCATCAATAAATGTATGTTTGGGAGAAATTATTGGTTTTATTGCTTCAAGTTTGAAACAACTTCATAATATATGGACGCGCTTTACCAACATTCTAATCATTGTAAATAAATTAATGGAAATATGTTTAATTTATTTTTATTTTGAAAAAAATTACTATATTCATTACCATTATATAATTTCCAATATTCAATAGGAGTTCCGTCAATAATATTTTCTATTTTCCATACATTATATCAAGACTTAAGCATTAGCACCATAAAATGGTGGAAATCCACTTTAAATTTGCCACATAAGCACTCCGACGTTGTACATCAGACTATTATTAACATTTCGTGTCCACATAAGGTATTACGCCAAATATTGTTGATGCTTTACTTGACGAAAGTTTTGGAATTATTCTTGAAAAACCAAAGTCTGCTATTTTGATTTTTTTCTAATGTTGCCGGCATGCTTTAATTTTTATTATATAAAAAGTACGAGTTTATAATAAATATAAATATATATTTCAACAAGACTGAGAATTAGAAAATTATTATTACCAGATCACGACGGATTATTTATCATCCCTATTTAGTTCATTGAAATATTTCTTAAATAATTATTCAATGAATCGCTATCAGCATATTCTAAGACTAAATATTATACTTCTGAAATGAAATAAATTGTATTGTTAATTCGATAAATATTTCTCATACTAACTTGGTTTTTACCATTGTGATTCCATATAGCCGTATAATATTGTCATCATAGTTAATTCTCCAGTGCAGTTTCAACTGTTATCATATACAGCTAAACAAAGTATTTTAATGCAAAATTATTTTCAATTGAAAATAATTATAGAAAATTTTACCTCATTCACAAATTCTTTGAAACCTTATCCATAAACCCCTTCCTATAAGTTTCTCATTTCGTAAATCAATTACTATCTCTAACCAACCATCTTCTGACAGAGATATTTTTTTTTTTTTACTTTGTTGTGTTACATGAAGCATGGAGGTCGAGTTTTTTTATTTAAGGTCAATTTGCAATGTTATACATGTTGTTAACCCTGGGATTGTACCGAAACCAAGGTAAACAAACGATGCATGCAATGCAATACGATATTCCGGAATCCCTTTTATCCTGGAATATACCACTAATGATTTTATTTTACGATTCAATTTGTGTAGTTTGTTTATCACAAGCGGAGCCTATGTGGAGACAAAAGGAAGGTTTGAAAGTGTAAAGATATTTTTTTTAATTTAAAGTCCGTAAGTCTATCACCAAGACTTTACAACGATCGGACTATATTCTTTTTTTGTAATTAATTTTTCCAGCATATATATACTAAATTTAAACTACGCATTTTCTTAATAATGAATAATACAAATAATATAAATGATGAATATAAAATAAACTAAATAAAACAATGAAATAATAGAAATTGGCGTTATCATATGCTATGTATGCTATCTACTACATTTGCCGCAGTACGATTTTTAGACGCAGTTTTTGATCTTCAGACATTTTCGAGGCTAACAATGTACGGAACAAACTCTGTTTAACCAACTTTGTGGAATTATGTAAAGTGGCACCTCAAATGTCGATCGTCATATGACGACTCAGATGATCCGAACCGCCACGTGACCTTAATAAATTGTCAATTTCAGTATCGCCAAGCGTAACGTTTTTTCATTTTTAAATTCGATGCGGTAACAAATAGAAAAATTTTCAAATTCTATAATTAATTAGCTCGTGTATCTTAAGTCTAGGACGTCTTTTGGTTTATTATTTGAAGTATATTTGATTAGCCATAGAATGATATATAATTAGGGATACAGTAAATGTAAAGTAAAGTGCAAATATTTTATAGCATTATATTTTCTATTTTTTTATGGCTTAATTAATTTTTTTTTTGTACTTATAATCGATATGGATTTCTTTTTATATTTTTTGAGTATAACTAAATATATTCGCCTTCAAAATAATAATTCTTCTATTACAAATCCATAATTCGATAGATATAATAATCATATTGGTTCGTTTTTAATCCGAGGAATAATTTTTTTTCGATATTTTAAGTTGTCTAAAAAATAAAGAAATGTTTTGAAAAACAATTAAGAATTTTCTCGCATTGGACAAAAATTTAATATTCCTAATAAATCACAAGAAAAAAGAAATCGCATTGTCGTTGCTTTAAAATTTAAGACATATTTTTATTGATTTTTTTTAAAAAAGAAATGATTTTTAAACACGACAATTGTTAAAAGTAGTTGTGTAAAAATACAATTCTCTTTTTATTCCCTGATCAAATCACGTGAAATATGCATATGCTATTCCACAATAATGTTAGAAAACCTTATTTTGTCATTAAAAATTTGAAATTTTGGAAAACAATAAACTTTTCAAAAATAAGGTTGTAAAAATAAAAAATATAATTTTTAATGGATAATTGATGTTCCACCAATTCAAATTAAAAATGCTTTTTTTTTTATTCCATTTTACAATTGTAACATCAGTTTCAACTACACCGACTCCTTTTATTTTAGCTGTCCCACCCCGCACATATCCGTTGATTTCTAGATGGCCCAAAGACGAATGATATTTCCTCGACTATGGTTTATCGTTGTCGTCTTGGAAGTTGTTTAAGATTAAAATATTTTGGAAAATAGGGAGGTATTCTCCGAAACCATGTGTCATGTGGCATTTTTTTTTTATTTGTTGCCTTTGTTTATTTTATTAATTAAATAATCAATCAATATTGGCTTATTGTAACAAGTTCTTTCATTTGTCAAATGAAATATTTTTTGTTTTATTTGTTTTTTAATTTAAATTAATTGAAAAAAAAGTGTTTATTTTGTTTATTTATAATACAACGTTAATAAAAGAAATTTTTTTTTTTTTAGTTTGGCGGCGTTTTGAAATAGTAGGGTCATGTAGTATCACATTAAATTTCCCAATTCGTCATATCGGAAATACCGAAATGAACATATTTTCACCTTTTTTTATGTAAATGCTCTTGGTTGGACTATAAATAATAAGATAACAAAAATAATTAGATTCTCTAAATTCATTATGGAAAAGATTTTAATAAAAGTTATATATATTTTTTTTACGGTATTGATTGGACAATATACAAATAGGGAGAATTTCGAACAAAGACATATAAATAAATAAATTAGAAACAATACAGTAAATCATAAATAACTCCGACACTTTCCGCAGTAACTGATACCTTTTCATTGTTCTTATTTTGGAATGAAGAAAATCAAATACAGAAATGACAATTAAGTTAAATAGGTTCAAATCAATATCTAAATATAGGTAATGAATTTATTAAATTTAATTATGAAATAAATATTTATTTTTAGATATATATTAACAAATTCAAACAAAGGTAAATAAATAAATAAATTATTGTTTTACAAATATTATTTAAATTTAGTAATTTCTTAAATGAAAGAAAAATACGAACTTGTATAAAATTAGTCTAACCAAATACAAATTGATTAAATTTATTTAGTGGTAATTAATTATTTGATTTATTATAATATCTATATTAATCTATATTTGATGATAATTATATATTTTAAAATTGTACAAATCTTTTACGTTTGGGCTTTGGTTGTTTAGCGGCACAAGTACCTCCATAAGAGAATTTTGGTAGACAACCTTTATCACAAAAACCAGGACCGATGCCACAAAATCCATCAACACCACAACATGGAGATTGGGGATCAGTGCATTTATGACCACCCATATTTGGACATCCGTCATTAACTAGTGGAACTTCTCCAACACCTTTGATAGTGACTTTTGGGTGGAATAGAAATTCATGTAAGGGGAACGTTAGATTTGATAAAGATTTAAAAAAATATGAAAATTCAATTTAAACTTACAATATGAAGAGTAAGCAACATTTTCGGCTAACTTTCCAATGCTTATCGAATAATCGATCGCAGTCTTCGTTGTCGCTGGCACGGAAAATTTGCAGACTAGAGCTAAAATTAGATTCAAAAAAAAAAGGTAATAAATCCATTAGATTCACTCTCGTCCAATTCTCATTTTTAGTAAACGTTCTGTCTCAATCACATACCAGTAGGGTTAATATTTTCACAAACTGTCCATTGTGGCATTAAATTGTCTGGTGGACCCATAGTTAAAATTAAATCAACCGCTGGTTCTGTTTGAGGGTCATTAGTTAAGGTCCAAGTAATATTATACATATATCCAGCTGTTAACACACTGCCCGTTGCTGGGTATACAATCGAATATCCAGCTTTAGAAGGTAAAGCGTATAATACTGTCAAAAGTAATAAACTTAAAAATAATTTTGCCATATTCTTATTGAGTGAATCGGCAAATTTTTTTTTGTTAAAGGAGAAAAAAAAAAGAAAGCAAAATTGTAAATTTTCAAGAATAGTAAAAATTTCAATTTTTTTTTTTTACTTTTTTTTTTTTTTACATGATAACGCTGGCTTTATATATTTATCTTTTTTACCTCGCTTTGGATAAAAAAATAATATTTTTAGATTTCGTGTATAAAAATATAAGATTATGTATGCATCACCTCACGAAAAAAAATGATCATCAGATTACATAAAACACAAAAAAAAAATTTTATTTTTCGGCCATTTTCGGTATAAATTTTAATTGAAATGAGTATGAAACGTGCATGAGGTGTAACAGTACTTTTCAGTTACATCGCATCTAAATTACATAAATTTGAATAATGAAAGTAAACAAACTTTGTCTTTTCTTCCGTACAACAACATGTTTGCCTATAAAAGTCATTTTTATAATCAAACTTTTGTTATGTTTCGTGTAACTTTTCAACAATTTGTGTTTAAAAAAATATGTAAGTAATAAATTCTATGAAATCTGTGTAACTTTTTATTCATTCGTACCTCGATAAAGTAGCCCCTATATAGGAACGACTGATATGTGATCTGCTTTTCAATTTCGATTGTGATACCAACGCAACGCACGCTTTCAATGGAATCAGAGATTTGCGAAATCATCATTGCAGCGTTAAAAACTCGATTCTGCGGTTCTATTCAAACAATGATATTCTCCTCATATGGGGCCTTTGCAATAGAAAGGGGGGAAACTGCCGGGAAAAATTAATTTTACTTTATATGCCAAATATGATTTTTATGCTGAAATATGTTTAAATTTAGCATTAACTCATTTTTGATTTTTCCGGCTTTCTATTGCAAAGGCCCCATATGGTAAGTTCCGATTATGTTTTGTGGCGCAGCAAGGATTTTGTTTTTTTTATTTTTGATATAAATGTTACGAAATATCTTTTTGAAATTTTCATGTCAAGTTCTTTTAATGTGTTAATATGCCTCGGGTACTAGTAACGTCACGTCAATAAGATAACAAATACGCAAAACGCTGTTAACGATATATTTATTATTTTTTTAGCGTTATGAATCTTTGCATTGTCCAGCTGAAAAACACATTTTCTCCTGTGGAATCATTTGAAATTATATAGATGTCTTAAATTTTATGGTAAAAAATTTGAATTCATTTTCTTTTCCTTTTTTTACGAAAAATTAACGATCCTTTCATTCCTCTCACGAAACAAGGGTAGGTGCCAAGACAATCGAAACAAAACCTTTCTCTTATACCTCAGAAAACTCTTTTTTGATTTGACTGCTTTCAAATCACAAGTCTGAAAAATATCCACGACCATTCATATGCAGATTTTGTTCTATGATTTTCATACAAACTAACATGAGAGGCTGTATGTGATTAAGTAATTAAAGGTTTCATACAAAAGAGCACGTAGTATCTTTTTAACTTCATTTATAAGTGCATCTTTTCATCATTATTGATAACAATGGTAAATTTACAGTCTTCTTATTCTGAGAAATAAACCGACATATTAAAAGTGGGTTCTCATTCCATTTTTATTTTTTGGCAATTGAGCAACAATTATAGTTTCTCTATACCAAAATATATTTTCTTTATCTTGCGAAGATAACTGGGTGCAAGTTGATAAGGAGTACAACAATACAAATTATAAATAAAATATAAAAAATAGTTAGTACAAGTATTCTAGACGTAAAAGGTTAATTATGGAAATTCTGGTTATTGTTACACGAATAAAGTCGGTAGTTATTTCACGACGCGACTATGGTTCGGAATCGGAAGTTCGAAAATCGCCAAAGTCCAAAGTCGATTGTAATAACGATTTTGAAATATCGACTTTAAATCGATTCTCATTAATCGGCAAAAATCGGTTACACAAAATCGATAGATATCTTTTCTACACAAAATCTTGAAGCTTTAAAATAATGAAGAAGTCGAATCAATGGTAAAATTTAATTCGTGTAATAACTCATATATTAAACTGTATTTGGGTCAGTTTAATGATCGTGATGGTTGAACTCAATTTAACTGACAATGAATCATTAGGTTTGAGAATGCTGAAAGAAATCTTAGACAATATAAGCAAAATGCACTCCTATTGAAGTTGATACTAAAATTCTCAATTCTAGTGAAATGGAAGAAAACATTGAACCTGCCATTGACTCCTCTTCTTCCATTATTGTACAACATAAAAAAAACGCCCATTGAACCGACCTAAAAATACTTTTACGGTTAAGAAATACTTTAACCGGTTAATTAACCGGTTAAATTAAACTCAACTGGCACTATAAATTTGGGCGGAGCTAGCGCAAATTTTTTAATCAAAAAAAAAAATCTTAAATCAGCACAAAAATTAAATCAGAACGGAGTTAATATTAAATATTTTAACCGATTAAAGAAAATCGTTACCCGAACCGTTAACCGTCGTCTTGATCGGTTAAATTAATCGGTTCCAACTAGGGTGTCCAGGATGGCTGACGTGATGGTCCAAAATTCTCACGTGTTTTTTATCGCAAAATTGCGCAAAATCGCGATTATAATTTCAGAGTAAAACCCTAGAGGAATCAATTGATGAAAATGTTGATAATGAAGTCGAATAAATCACCCAATCAAATTTGAATGTCGTATTAAGGCTTCTACTGACAAAGGGAATTCTTCAAAACTAAGTAGATTAAATTTTCAATATGTGGAGATAGTCTAAACTGTGCTATAGTTAAATTAATAATTGTTTGTATTACATTAATAAATAGGTATATTCTACCAAAAAAACGAATTATTGATCATTCTTGAAGCTTAAAAAACATTGAAGTTATTATCAGGCTTGCCAATATCTTGCATCGAGACATACAGTAAATTACGTATTATTATCATGGATACCTCATTGATTGCGGTGACCAACTAACTATCGGCAGCATTATTCTGCTTATATACAGTATATAGGGCTAAACTTGAAGTTCACTGGCAAAAAGTTTTGATGGCTTACCATCGCTGATGACATTCAGTCACCATTTACATTCTTGTATTCATTGATAGAAGTAGTGCTCCGAACGATACGAGTCGACCCGGGTTAATTTGACCCGACCCGACTTTTAAGTCGGGTCGGTATGATGAATTTTGATGGCCCGTGACCCGCATGACCCGACCCGGCGGGTCGGGTCATTCAACTTCTTGACCCGGGTTTTGACCCGAATCAACCCGATAATTATTAGTTTATTTTGATTATATTGACTAAATACTCTTAAAATTTTAGGAAAAAGAAAATCTGGCTTCATAAAATTGGTAATTCTAATGCAACTAATCTTTGGCGTCATGCAGAAGTTCATCATCCAGAAAAAGATCCAAGGCCCAACAAAAAAGCAAAAAAATCAGTGGCAGAAGATCAAAGTACATTAGATAAATTCGTAGGTCAGAAATAGATTCCTTCTAAAGCAAGTATAATTGAATATTTATAATTTTATATAAGTTATAAAATTAAAAAAAGTTTCTTACTAAATGGATAATTGCTGATGATCAACCATTGACAACAGCATAAAATAAGGATTTTTGAAATATGATAAAGATTTTTAATTCAGATACAGTAGTTCCTAAAGCAGATACAATCAAAAACGATATAATGAAACGAAAAAAAGAAAAATTTTGGTAGCTGCCAAAAGATGCTGTCTTAATTCAGATACAATTAGTGCATGCATGTGCTTGAAGTCCTGGCAGGCATAAAATAAATTTTTGTTAATTAATAAATTTTGAGCCGTAATGATAATATAAAATAATTTGTGCGACCTACTTAGCGATCATTTGCATTGTCTTGTAGATCAATTTTTAGAGTAAAAAATTCGAGTCTTGACTCGGGATTATACGGGTTAAACTATACTCGGGTCAAGTCGATTCGGGTTATGAAAAATTTGTGATTACGGGTTTTCCTATTTCATTCAGATCGGGTCGAATATATTCTCGAAACCCGACCCGACTTGACCCGTTAGGAGACCTAGATAGAAGATTGAGTTGAAATAAATGATTTACCACGCTAAGTCCTTAGCTTACAAGAACTTGACGGTATATCTCCAATTCGAAGAACATCTTAAATACGCACTATCAGATAAATATTGATACGATCATTGAATTTTTTTTTTTTACTAAAAATGAACGCAACTTATTTAAAGAAAAAAAGCATCGTATTAATACATTTAAATATTTTAATAATACCATATAAAAAAAATTATATCGTCGATTTATAATAATTAATATGTAATTTGATACGTAACGTGACTTGCCTAAAATATCTTATTTTTCTTCTTTTTAGTAGGCTATATTTGTTAATTTTCTTGAATGGCAAGAACAATTTACTTTAAAGAACAAATTTTTCACGTAAAGTTTCGTTAATACTTTTTTTTTATTTTTAAATTAAATAATTCTAGATCGTTATGAATTTGAAATTCTGCAAATTAGTTCCTGTTCTAACGGTAGCTTATTTTGCATTAATTTGCTCAATATCCATTTTCTTAATTAATCCGCAGTATATTGAAAGGGCATTTATCTAACAATTTATATTTCCGTATGGTGTGTATGGTGTACTGTACACGTATAAAAATAGAGGGGGGATACACCGCTAACCAAGATAAATGTAATTGAACTTGCACATCATATTTTTTCAACGTCATGTTTCCTTTGGAATTTGGAGGTGAAGCTTAGTATGAAATGTTCATCGAATATTTTCGTATTTCTAAAGACCTTTAAAATTTAAGGACATCAATTTTGATACATGATCACATGAAATTCAATTGAAGATTCGTTCTTTCATTTAAGTGAAATAAACTTACCTAATCAATTTAGCTGCTGCTAAACGAAATAATCCATATTTCATCTTTTAACTTCATGTACATCTAGATTTACATTTGAAACCTTGACTTATAAAATTAACAATCATATTAAAATAGCTTATAAAAATTTTTAAGATGGTTTTTTTTAGCCCACCCAAATATTTTTTTTAATGTTTATTTATATATGATATGATATTAAATGTTTATTCAAAAAAGGTTACACAAAATCGATTTCCTTTTTAGAACGAGACCATTTCCAGCTTTTCTAAGAAGAAAGTAATCACGTCACGCATGAGGAAAAGTGTTATTACGAATATTCAAATTAAAAAAGAAATGATAGTCAAGGGCTGAAATTAATAAATAAAAACCTTTTAGAAATAATCCCTCAACATTTTAATATTTTTTTTTTAATAAATAAATAAAGAATTAATGTAAAAATGGTTTATAAATTCAACCGAAATAAAACCAAGAGAGACTTGGAAGATAGAATTAATGAATTAGAAAAAAGTAAAGAGAAATGCGACGAAGAAAATCAATTATTATTTTCATTTTTGTTTAATGAATTAGGTGGTAGGGATTTAGATAATTTAAGACGATTATCAGCAGGACGGAAACTTACAGAGATATTAGACGAATCAGAAAATCGAAAGCGAGAAATTCAAAACTTAAATTTGAATTTAACCATAAAAATAAATGAATTTTCAAACTTAAGTTCCCAATTCAAATATTTGGAAGGAAAGATTAACGTGCATGAACAAGAAGCTAAAGCCAAACAAGAAACGATCAATTATTTAGAAGAAATTGTTAGAGACCAAGGAGAAGAAGCAAAAGTCAAGCAAGTAACTATCAATTCTTTAGAAGAAAAGTTTAAAGAGCGAGAAGAACAAACCAAAGAAACCATTAAAGTGCGAAATGAACATAAAGCTCAGCAAGAATCTATTAGCCATTTAGAAGAAAAGATTAGGGAGCTAGAAGAATTAACCGAAGCCAAAGCACAAACTATTTATGCTTTAGAAGAGCGAGAGAAAGAAGCCAAAGCCAAGCAAGTTACTATTAATTGTTTAGAGGAAAAGATTAAAGAGCGAGAAGTAGAAACTAAAATTAATCAAGAAACTATTAGCGATTTAAAGGAACAGATCGGAAAACGAGATGAAGAAATTAAAACAAATCAAAATATAATTAACAATTTAAAAGAAAATATTAAAGAACAAGAAAATGTAGTCGAAGCCAAGCAAGGAACAATTAGTAATTTAGAAGAAAAGATTAGAAAACAAGAAGAAGCTATCGAAATCAGAGCAAACACTTTTTATGCTTTAGAAGAAAAGATCAAAGAGCAAGAAGATGAAGCCAAAGCGAAGCAATTGACTATTAATTATTTAGAGGAAAAGATGGAAAAGATTACAGTGCAAGAAGTAGAAACAAAAACTAAACAAGATATTATTAACAATTTAAAAGAAAAGATTGAGGAACGAGATGAAGAAATTAACGCAAATCAAAAAATTATTAACAACTTAGAAGAAATAATTAAACAACAAGCTGAAGCCAAGCAAGAAACAGTTAGTAATTTAGAAGAAAAGATTAGAAAGCAAGAAGAAGTAATCGAATCTAGAGCAAACAAGTTTAATGCTTTAGGAGAAAAGATTAAAGAACGAGAAGAAGAAGCCAAAGTCAAGCAATCCACTATTAATTATTTAGAGGAAAAGATTAAAGAGCGAGAAGTAGAAACAAAAATCAACCAAGATATTATTAACGATTTAAAAGAAAAGATTGGGGAACGAGATGAAGAATTTAGCGCAAATCAAAAAATTATTAACAACTTAGAAGAAACGATTAAAGAAAAAGAAGATGTAAGCGAAGCCAAGCAAGAAACAATTGATAAGTTGAAAGAAATGGTTAAAGAACAAGAAGAATCATCTAAAGCAAATCATGTAACTATTAATTATTTAGAAGAAAAGCTTAAAGCGCAAGAAGTGGAAACTACAGCCATGCAAGAAATAATTAGTAATTTAGAAGAAAAGATTATAGAAGTTAAGGATATGAGAGAAGTAATTTATGATTTAAAACAAAGGATCAGTGTTCGAGATGATGAAATCAGCGCTAAGCAAAATACCATTAACAGCCTAAAAGAAAAGATTAGAGTACAAGAAGAATTAAGCGAATCCATGCAAGAAACAATTATTAATTTAGAAGAGAATGTTAAAGAACAAGAAGAAATGGCCAAAGCTACGCAAGTAACTATTAATTATTTAGGGGAAAAGGTTGAAGATCAAGAAAAAGAAATTAGAGCCAAGCAAGAAATAATTAGTAATTTAGAAAAAAAGTTAATAGAACGAGAAGAAGAAGTCAAAGCCATTAAAGAAGTAATTTGTGATTTAAAACAAAAGAAAGGAGATCGAGATGAAGCCAAGCAAAATACTATTAATAACGTAAAAGAAATGTTTAGAGAAGAAGAAGAAGTAACCGAAGCCGAGCAATTGACAATTCGCAATTTAGAAGAAAAGATTATGGAGCAAGAAGAAGAAGCCAAAGCCATGAAAGAAGTAATTTATGACTTGAATCTAAAGAACGTTGTTCAAAATGAAGAAATTAACACAAATAAAAAAACGATAAACAGCTTAAAAGAAAAGATTAATACACAAGAAGAAATAATCGAAGCCATGCAAGCGTCAGTTATTAATTTAGAAGAAGGGCATGAAGAAGAGTCTGAAGCCAAAACAAAAACTATTAAAATTTTAGAAGAAGAGATTAGAAAACGAGAAGGATTAACCAGTACCAAGCAAAAAACTATCAATGTTTTGAAGCAAAAAGTTAAAGAGCGAGAAGAAGAAGCCAAAACCAAGCAAAATACCATTATCGATTTAAGAGAAATGATCGAAAAACGAGATGAAGAAATCAAGGCCAAACAAAAAACTATTTTTAACTTAAAAGTAAAAACTGATGAAAAAGAAAAGATCAAAGATCAAGAAAGAATGAGAGACCAAGAATTGGATACTATATATTATGATACAACTGAAAGTTTAACCATTACTAAGCAGAATCAAGAATACATTTTAAAGACTGCGCAAGGATTGCAAAGATATCGAAAATTAACAACCCTTCGCTGCGAAAACGTTCAAATAACTAGTTTACCAACCTTGCCCGACTCTTTAATAACTCTAAATTGCCCACGTACTCCAATAACCAGCTTACCAACATTGCCTAATTCTTTAAAAGAACTCCGTTGTTATAGTACCCTAATAACTAGCTTGCCAACCATGCCTAACTATTTAAAAGAACTCAATTGCTCACGTACTAAATTAACGAGCTTACCTTCTTTGCCTAACACTTTAACAACTCTCAACTGTAACAATACACCAATAACTAGCTTGCCAAACTTACCTAATTTCTTAACAAAATTATATTGCTCTGGTATTAATGTAACTAGTTTACCAACTTTACCTAATTCCTTAACATGTTTAAACTGCGAAAATATTCGGATAACGAGCTTGCCAACTTTGCCTAACTCCTTAACAACTCTCAACTGTAGCAATACCCTATTAACTAGCTTGCCAACTTTGCCTAATTCTTTAACGGAACTTTATTGCTACGAAACTCAGTTGACTATCCTACCAACTTTACCTAATTCCTTAAAAGAACTCCGTTGCTATAATACTAAAATAACTAGTTTACCAAATTCACCCAATTCATTAATGTATATCTCACCTATATCTTTAATAACCCCTTCTATTCCAATTTAGTTTTTGAGAACTTACATATTTTAATAGAGTGGAACAGAAAATTTAGGAAAGCATTCTTTAAGAAATACATATGGTAGCAAATTTAATTGTTTACCATCGAAATTTCGAACCAAATATTTGAACATTTGTTGTAAATTAAGAATATTATTTAAATAAACATTTGACAATTTTATTCTATTTTCTATAAAACTTTTTTTTATAATAAAATAATAAAATATTTTTTGTCGATCAAAGATAATGACAGACATTGATTCCTTTTATAAGATCTGACCTGAGCATATTAGAGATATTAGTGATTCGGTCATTAATTTTTTTATTACTTAATCTATATGTTTACAATTTATTTTATATTTTTAATTTTGGTGACATACTGTTTACAAGTAATAGTGATTAGAAATTGAGACATTCCATTCTAGCAAAGCAAATAATATTGTCACATCTTGTATCTTAACATCACTATCGACGTATCGATGTCGAGATATTTACTTGAATTAGTACTATCCCAATACATTTTGCAGGTTGAATTTTTAAAAGTATGTTATTACCAACTATATTATGTTTATGTAATTTTATAGGGCTAGGAAAATTAGAATTTTTTGATAGAAATTTCATTTTAATCTACCATCATTTTCCTAGTAAATCTCCCACATTTTTATGCTTGTAAAACGAAGAATTTCCAAAACATTATTTGAAATTGTATCTAATATACCAGTTAATTTATTCATTGAAATGTTGCGTGACTGAATTTGGAATTTTACAGAAATTAAAATTTTACAGACAGTCAATAGCAAGAAGGATATAGAAATTTCAATTTCAATTTCAATCATCATTATTCAAATGGCTTACATCATAATTATTCGTATGTGAATAACTTCTTGATGATGAGAAGAAACGAGAGAAAATAAATATAAAATGTTTTAATCACACATTGGTTTGTTGTAACTGAAATTGATTTGTTTGAAGTTGGAATTCAATAATAATATTCAATTATATCAAGAATTTAAAAGAAATATATTACACGGTAAATAAGGTTTTTCAAAGAAGAAATCCTCAACAATTAAATATAAAATAATAGACACTAGTTGAAGTGTGGACCAAATAATTTAGCTCCAGCAGGGTCTACAAAATTTTAAATATATTTAAAAGCATAAACAGATATACAATATTTGAAGAAAATGAAAATGAAAATAGAAATAGAACGCTTTTAAAGAAAACTAAAGAAAAAAAACATTTTCATATAGAAAAGTATTTAAAAAACTTACTTATATTTGTTATGTAGATTTCTTTTTAAGACAAATCGATCGAACTATTTATAAAAGAGTTGATGATTCAAAATACTTTTGCAGAATTACGAATGAAAAATGATAAGAATTCAGAGTTGCGAAAGTAAGTAGGTATATCAATTTAATAGAAGGTTTACAATCTAATTTTATCTAATTTTAATAGCATAAAATGTCTATATCAAAAAAATTTGTATAGAAAATGCATATGTTTAATTTACTATATGAAATAAAATCAGAAACTTAATTAGTGCATATATGCTCTTGTTATTATAAAGAAATTTATTGTTTGTGATGTTTTTTAATCATTGATTACTAAAAGATCTCAATTAAAATACGATTAATAGAAAAGATGTTTTAACTATTGATTTATTTAAATATATCCATTAAAAGAAACCAATTATGTGAAAATATTGTAAGACGATTCTAATATTCGAACGCTAACAGCTTACGTTTAATTTTTGGATTTTTTAAAGGCGAGAGACTGTGTAACCTGCAGTAGTGCACTAGCTGTGATTGTCGGATTATGTCTAAAGTTGATGCAGATTTTTGGAAGGATTACGATAGTTGCAAAGAAAGTGATAAAATCATTTTTATCAGCTTAATAACTTAAAAGTAACGAAGCATGATTTCTCAAACTTTAAAGAATTCAGATTTTTGTGAGTAAATGGTTAAATGACGATCTCAAAACAAGCCCGCCTTTGAAAAAAGCACGCAAAAAATATGCTCAAAAATTAATAAAAATGAAAAATGAAAAAAATAAAATAAAAAATTATTGATGAAATAAACCTTGATAAGAACATGGAGCGACATTTTCTTCATGCGATTATTGATCAATTATCTGAATTAGAAATTAAATATGCAAATGAATTGAAAGATGATTTGAATAATAATAATTCTAAAAACTTTGGATTATATAATTTGTTAAAACAAATGACAATTTTAAACAAGGATTTTATGAATTTGGGCATCAACAATTACACAATTACATTTGTATCTACATAAACGTAGATTGTCCTAAAATTTAGAGTATAGGGAAAACCGGTACGGTACGGTTCGGCTGATCAGTACGGTACGATTTTGCAGATCAGTACGAATTTTCAA